AGGAACTCGCTTCATATTAATACTCAGAATATCCAGTCTGGCGTCTTGGTCAGGAATGCCAATTTCGACTTCACGGTCAAATCGGCCAGGGCGTCTTAAGGCAGCATCAATGGCGTTGGGCCTATTAGTAGCTCCCACAATGACTAGCTTACCTGAAGAAGACATACCATCCATTAAAGTCAGCAGCGTAGCAACAACCCTAGATTCCGAAGAATCGGAATCTTCATCTCTTCTGGGAACTAAAGCATCAATTTCATCCAAGAAAATAATGGAAGGTTGGTACTTTCTGGCTTCTTCAAAGATACTTCTCAAAGCCGATTCAGTTTCACCCAAGTACTTGGAGACAATAGAAGGGCCATTTACAGTCAGCACATGCGCGTTGGATGTATTAGCCACAGCTCTCAGAAGCATAGTTTTACCAGTACCAGGAGGACCATGCAACAAGACACCACGGGAAGGCGCAATACCAAAATGGCTGAAAAGGTTGGGACGATGAAGCGGTAATTCAATGGTTGACCTCAATAAACTAATTTGAGCAGATAGGCCACCAATGGAAGAATATGTAACTGATTGAGGTAAGTCATATTTGACCCGCACTTTCTTAGAAACAAATTCAAGAGTAGATTCAGAAGACCACATATAAACGGGCGTCCAAAGTAACTCAGACCCATGAAATTCAGAAATCATAGCAGTTTGCTTTTCACCAATTGACAAGCTCTGGATGTCAGGCAAGTCTTCGCACTCTTCATCTTCTTCGCTTTCTTCTTCGCTTTCTACTTCATCATCTTCTTCACCAGCATCAATTATTGTCAAACTATTTTCTCCAAGTTGAAATTTTAATCCAGGCAATAAAAGTCCTATTTCCGTCAATACTCTAACGAGCTTAGTAGCGTCCGTGATGGGAACTGTAGAATGAATTTTAACCAATTCAGCATTTTCGGGTCTCACGGCATACTTGGTGATCTTGATTCTATCACCAAGTAAAATACCGCCAAGATCTCGAAGAGGCTTCGACACTAAGACAATATTGATTTCGCTACCTTTGTCACCAGGCACAGAGGTCCCCACAACACCCTTTTCACCCTCCTTAGCGATAATGACCAGCTCACCACCCGCAATACCAAGTGCTTTCATCACAGCAGGGTTCATAGTAACATTTAAACAAGATTTGGCATTTGTAGATTTCGAGGGTCTCACAATAAACGCTTTTGGCACTTTAACTGGCGGCGTAGCAGCTTTGGCTTCGTTGGCGCAACCATTGGAAGGAACCCCGTTGTTATTCGCAGATCCAGCAGAGGCAGTGCCGCTACTTGAAGGTTTTTTGTTGAGGTTTGTTTTTGGAGGCATCTAAATACTTTATTTCCCGCAAGAAGACTGTCGATATTATAAAGCTATCTGGCAAAGGAGTGCGTGGAGAGTTCTAAAATTGAACAAAAATCAAAATAAATCCAAAAAATTAAAAAGAAAATGAAGGTGTTGGGACAAAATTTGGAACATCGAATCTTAATCTTGAGGCCTACATCAAAACTGTCTCGAGATATACCCCAGAAACCTAAGAAAGAACCATGAATATAACTAATGGTCGTGGGTCTTTTCCATTCAATAACATAATATTAAAATTTAAATGTAATGTGATACGGTCACCGCTGGTTTTGGGGAGCGTAAACTCAATAGTATGCCATCAGAGGTCATATTATAGCCATCAACACTATGATAACGAGCTACATTTCAGCGTCACTGATGAAAAACTGCGAATTTTCAAAAGCGAAAGAGAAACTCAAATTTTTTTAGAAAAGTACTCTTCAGATTCCTATTCATCTTTATCTCTACTTCTAGGTAAGGATTATTTGTTACCAAAGGCCGTTTTGGTACAAATCCTCAGCCCTGATCTGAAGCAAACCCTAAGTCCGCCAGGTATACCTACAGAGAAATATGCTATGATGGGGGAAATTATCTTAAATATGGAGTTGGCAGAGCTATTGTCATCTAATAAAAATAATATCACTGCTGCTATTGGTACAGAAAACGGATATGATTTCGATTCTCTTTTAGCAGATAGTGCAAGAGACCTTCAAGAGTTTAATAATTTAAGAAAGCTGGCAAAAGAATCTGGTATTAACCGGCAAATCAGGACAGAAAGTTTGGCGAGGAATAATAGAAAAGACCAGTACGGTGTGCGGGCCTTGAGGGCTGTTATTGGTGCCGTTCATATGATTCTTGGTGAAAAGGCTGCTAAGCATTTCGTTCAAGTGAAAATCGCCCAGAACTTGTTTAGAATTTCCCGAAACAAGATCTAATCAAATGTTACAGGTGTGATGAACAAATTTTTGTAAATAAATCATAACTAAATAATACACAATATACAATGCGGGTTTTAGGGGGGCTGTGGCACCCTTAATAATATTGTCTTTTTGAGTATTTTACTTTTCTTAATCTATTGTCCACCGTATTTGTTTTTCTTTCTAAGAATGAATCTTTCTATAAACTTCGTAAGCTCCCCATAGACCTCTGGCATGACAAATGGCAGCAATAACAACCATGAAATGGAATATTTGATGAGAATGTCCAAAATAGTCGTATGATCCTGGGCTAAATCTCTCAGGGATTCTAAGGGCATAAGTGACCGCACCTAAGATATAAATTAATCCTTCTGCTAAAATCCACCCTAACTGGGCCCTATGCCAAGTTATATTGAAGCCAAATTCAAATAAAGAATAGCATACTGGCAAGACACCAGATAAGCCGAATAAGATGAACATCGTGGCTCGGTAGGAACGGAAATGAGGTAATCTGAAAGAAGGATGTAGGCAAACTACTACACATACCACCCCTAAACTAAATGTAATTCCGGTGAATAATGCGTTAGCACTTAATTTTTCCATAATCATAGACATTTCGGGGTGACTAGGATGATCATGAGGGAAGACAGGTAGCGAAAAATGTGTGAGTGAGATCATAGATGAGGCAATCAAAAAGGTGATACCAAGATAGTCCAAGGAGTTACCAAATGATGCTACAACATGGGAGTGACTCTTTAATGTGTGAAAAGTAGCTGATAAGAATAAACACAAAAACGCCCCCAAAGGAAAGAGTCGAAGGAATATCATATCTGTGCTTGAGGGTTTAGAAGTAAAGAGCGGCTCCAAAGGCGCAAACCAGGCTAGCGCTACAGCAAAAAGTATGGCAGGAACTAAGTGAGAGTATATATTAACACTTTCATTGTGGATATACATCAATGATCTCAAAGTCTTGAGGTAGCTATTGGTTTCTCTAACGTAGCCATCCAGAATGTGTTCGTTATCCTTCTGCCATTCGGGAAGTTGATCATAGGTGCACAGGCCGTGCGGATTCTTAGGCTCAAACGCAATATCTGTTCGTCTATCCCTGGACATAGTCTCAGTCGCGTGCCGCTGTCTCAATCCCATTATTTTTGTCTTGTATTTTTTCTTTATCACCAAGAAAAACGTCTGGCAAGACGAGAGATCGCATGTTTATGTTTCCAGCCAGTACATCGAAGCCTGCATAAGATGCATCTGTTGGGTGCGTCTGGATATCCCCATCCGTTTGACAGAAAGGATGGGGATACCTAACAGAAGAACAGTAAAATAACATTATATCTGTTCTCTGTTTTGCACGTATGTATAGTTCAGGCCTGCTATGAATGAAGTCTTGGTCAACATGTAAATCATGCTTCCTGTATGCAAAAATCTTCGACTATGGATAAATGGCAAATTAGGTAGCGAAATGTTTGTAACTAGAACATAACAAGGTCAAGCTCAATTGAAGTCTGATCTTCTAGTATACTAAAGTTGATTTCATAAACTTTTCTTAATTATATGAAAGAGGGCAAGAGACCCAAAAGCTCTAATATATGTAGCAGTTAGAATTTGGGTGGGGTAAAAACTTAACTTGGCTTGGAATATACAATGTTCCATTCGCAGAAAAAGCCCCAAAGTCGGCATTGTTTGCGGAAATGATATGTTTTTGATTCAACTAGCCTCCTTGTGATAAAAACCTGATCATTAAGAAAATAAAAACAAATACGTGACCATTTTGTCAAACAGGGATAGACATCATTTTTTACCCAATGTCTGCGGCCATATCCACTGGAAAGCACGATTTCCCGTCCGATCAATCATAGTTAAGCCAGTGAGAGCCTTCATAAGTACTACGGTGGGAGACCACGTGGGAACTTAAGGTGCTGCAGTCTTTTTTATCCTCATTCTATACTTTTTATTTCTTATTTCAGGTGAGATATTGTTTGTATTTAATAACTATATTTCCTCTCGTTGTGTTATTTTTGACCTTACCAATTCTAAGGTAGAGATAATAAAGATCAACTATTTGCCCAATCTTTCCTGAAGTCTACCCTAACCATGATGGTAGCTAACTTCTTATGGCGTACTAATAAGCAAGAGTTCTAGCGAATATTTTAAAAATAAATAGTATTTCCAAAAACAGATATGCGCAGAAAAGAAACCCAGCCAAAAACAAAAATTCTCCGATACGGGGAATCGAACCCCGATTTGCCCGGTGAAAGCGGACCGTGCTAGCCATTACACTATATCGGATAGTAAAGAAGCACCCATGATGGGAGTCGAACCCACAATCTTCAGATTAGAAGTCTAACGCCTTAACCATTGGGCTACACGGGCTCCTTTCTTTCCTTCTAGGGAAATTTGTATTCTCGATTATTCAATCTTTGATTCTCAGCCTTATATTGAGCAAAATCATGAAAAGTATTGATAGTAAATTTTACAATTATTATTTTAAGCTTTCTCTTTCTAAGAATTATTCCTATCCAGACTGGTAACCAGACAGGATGTAAAAGGATTAAAATTTATGCACGATGTTATAGTTTAACAAAGAAGCAAACTCTGTGGAGGGTTCTCAATTGGAAAACTTGTTACAGTGGGTTTTCATTTGTTGAGATTCAGCAGCACAGATGGGATCACAGCCTTTTTGGTCTTCAAAAGCAAGAATGGTTATATAAAAAATAAAGCCCAACGGGGGGGTCGAACCCCCAACCTTGTGATAACTTTGATTCTTCTTAACAAATTCTAAGAGTCACACGCTCTACCGATTGAGCTAGCTAGGCTATTGGGATGATTGGGCCCAACCGGGAATTGAACCCGGGACCTCTCGCAATTAAGCTATGAACCCTAAGCGAGAATTATACCACTAAACCATCGGGCCGATCATTTCTACTGAAAAACTTGTTATCATTTTATTCCATTTTTAGAGGTATCTGGTTTAAGGGCTTTCCTTGTTTTTTGAAAGGCTATAGCTTGATAAATATATATATTTTATAAATCCATTAAGGAAAAATGTTTAAAACCCAAGCTGTAAGTAAATAAGTATAGCTACCGATAAAAACACTACTAGGGATCTTTAAATAGGTTTTATGGTAATTGATTTGTTATTTAGCTTTTAATAATATTAATCTTAAGGAAGAACAAGGTTCCGAGATGTAGCAATTACACATATAACACAAAACGTGCAGTAAAAAAAGCTATAATTGCCAAATCAGTATTATTTTTTATAAATAAGGTAAAGTAAAGAATTTAATATATCAACTGCGTGCTAAGTATAGAAAGTAAAAGTTAGGTATCGGCATACAAGAAATATATATATATAGCACTGTCTTACCAGACTAATTCTAAGAAGCGGCCACCTTCCTCTTCACGTCTAGATTCTAAATAATTAATTACTCTATGGAAATGGCCCTTGGTAGCTTCTAATTCACCACCACCAGCAGAATTTCCATTAAGAATAGGATTAATACTACCGCTCATACTGAGGCTGTTGGTATTTAAGTCGTCATTTGCCGCACTCTCAATTGTATTGGTGATAAGTTCAATCAGCCCGTTGACATATTTGACCTCAATAAAACTATTGCCACGCTCGAAATAGTAAATATATTGTTCAAGGATCTCAACAAATAATTTAACCGACATCACAGAGTCCATACAAGCATCAGCAACGCGAAGCGACCGTTGAAGACATTCTAATACGCGTTTTCCATCTTGGAATGGTAATGGAGTATCGCGAAGTTTGCCAGCCATTTCATCACTACTGGAATCAGTTCCGCCAGAAGTTTTTGCTTCAGAATTTTCCTCGTTACTTTCGAGCTGCTGGTCTTTCTGTTCGTCGTCCCCAAGCTCATAGTCTTCATGCCACCAAAGATGGCTCACTAAATAGACCGCCCGACATTGATCGACCTTCTTCAGTAATTTACTACCATATAGTGCACATTTAGTAATCAGAGTATCGTAACTATTTCCATCACTATCGTCACTAACATCTTTACTACCACTTCCACCAATGCCATTAGATTTACCATCAGAACTAAAACTGCGGCATCCCTGTAAAGCTTGGATCAATACACAAACCGCTTGGTATTGCGCTCTAGAATCACTAATACTTTCCTCATAGATTTGGAATGCCAACGCAAAGAATTCGTAGGATAATGGCGCTAAATAGACTTGATCGGCTAGCTGAGCAGCCAATACATATAATCGAAGAACCTTTTCAGAACAGCTAGGTTGACGATAATAAAGGTCTGAAATAACACGCGATGTTAATTTGAACGTAGCTGAGATTTTAGTGGTAATGGTGAAAACAGTTTCGCCATTAAATTTGCGCTTCATAATCCTGGCTTTAACCTCATCTGTTGGATCTATTTCACCATGCTTTTGCTCATACCGAATGATATTTAATCTTAATCGTGCATATCGGCGAACCAATTTAAGCGTGGATGTTACCAAAGCTGGGAACGTGTATTCTAAACGATCAGCTCCTCCACCTAAAAGCGCATTGCGGGCGATTTGGATCAGCTTGAGATTTACATCGGGATCCTTATTGTATAACAGATGAACAATCTTTGATAATTTAGAGTATTCGGACGACGCCTGCTTCTCTTGTTGTGCGGATTGATTGGGGATCACGCTACTGGAGGACTTGATGATCACGCTCAATAATCCAAATAGACCTTCGGCTTGTTCGGGGTGGCGGATTTTGGAATCTGGATTTTTAAGAATAGTGTCAATTACACCATTAGCAATAACTTTTTGAGTACGCTCTGATTGAGATTTCAAAAGTTCATTAAAGCCATTTATTTTAAGAACAGTGACTAATTTTGGATAGAAATCAATTGGACCCATTAATAAAGACAGCAAGTTACCTGAGGTTTCGTTAGAATGCAAGTCGAGAGTGTCTTTATTGGGCTGGATCACAGTATCTAAAGTGTAGTTGAATAAAATTGAAAGATTCTCGGGATTTTCAGGGTAAGCAAAAAGGGAAAGGCGACAAATGGAACATAATAATGAAGTAGTGTCGGCCAAAGGTAATTCACGGCTGGATAGCAAAGTGACAACATTCTTCCAGACTATTTCAAATAGAGGAATAGATCTAGGAATGCCGTTAACTATTGTTTCATCTTCTTTACTATTTTCAATAGTCATTTGGTTTTCGGTGTCCGATATGGGCTCATTTATATCATTATTTTCATTGCTATTAGCATCATCAGGTTTTTCTTTCCCTTTGGAATCAGTCTCAGTTTGTGAGATGGTCGATATCGGTACTGAGGAGACTGCCTCAGTTGAATTTTCCGAAGTTCCAACCTTCTCAGTTGTAGCCAAAGTCAATTCCTTACGAAGTTTAGCCTCTAAACGTTCATTATCGCCTTCTCTTTGGGAAAATTTAGCGAGTCGATCAACCATGGTTCCCACAATTCGCTTAATGCTGACGCCAGGGTTTAAATGCTCAATAGCATTCATGAATTGCTTTAGAGTGTGTAGATGAAACTCGTCTGGGAAGACCTGGGTGATGACATCCAAAAGATATTCCTGCGCCAAAACATCACGGCATTGAACAATTTGCTCAAGCACGGCCGGCAAGATTTTTTCACTATAGAATTCACAATCGATGCCGTCTAATTGCGACAAGCGGACCAAGTTGGATCCTACAAGAATTTGTAACTCTTGACGTTCCAGGGTCCTTTGATTGCGCTCTCTCGTATGGCCCTGGTGTTGCAAACGAACCCATAACTTATTCATTTCCACGAAATTTGTTAAGATAAATTGGATAGAGTCATTCAAGTTTCCCTGAACGGTGTCAGCGCTACCCACAGGCAACAACTCTTTGCTCTTTTGTGAGAGGTAGTATCTGAGGAAGAGACCCCGGATTGGATGTTGAACACCACGACACATTTCCATCATGTCTTTCATGATCTCTCGGCATGGCGCATCATCAACTGACATATAAGCAGTACCTACAGTAATCATCAGGTACAGACGGGGGATGATATTACCGGCGTACTGGACTAATTCATAAACATCAGCCAAGTGGTTTCCAGGGTGAAAGTCTTTTAGAGACACCGAGAGATTGGACAAGGCGTCAAAAGCTGCCATATATACTTCATAATATTGTTTAGGACTCAGTGTATTTGCACGCAGTTCTGCTAATAGGAGCGACGCATGACGAAGGGCGTCCATCAAACGACCCTTAGTATCGAGGCACCTTCGCATGAGCTGCTCTTGCTGCCGGATTACGGCAAGTGACGAGTCCAATGATGAGGACGGCATCTTTTTATCTCTCAGTAGGAGTTAATTGACTGGTTTTTTTGAGGTTTTTTGAGGTTGGAGGGCTGAATACACTTTTCAACGTTTCGTTGTGTAGATTGGTCAGGATTGGTGATGAAGATGGTCCGCAGTAGCTACAATTGTAATCAAAGGGTGGCTTAGTCACGTGGGTATAATTCAAGCCCGCGTGAGACCTGAATTGAAACTGAACTTGTACAATAAAATAAAACCATTACAGATATTTTAAAAGAGTATTTAGGAAAAATAAATATATTATAATAATACTAGCTACTAGACTAAATCCCCGACGCCAACAATCATTGTCATAAAAGTTCAATATCAGACATCCAAGGAAGGATGAAAACGGTCACTGACATACATAGATGGGTTCAGCGTATGCTACCGAGGAAACTGCGAATGTTTATAGAGTTTTCATCACTTAAAGAACTAGTATGGCAATGATTTTTTATCGTTGATATACGAATAATTTAGTCCATTTGGCAGACTTGCCTTCAGACTAGTGCACGGGTTAATAAAAACCATACACTGCTATTCTGAAACAAATAATTAATAAATCATTGTTAAGAAATCTAAGACACGGTTAGTTTACGGTTCATCAATAGATTGTTTTTCATAAACAGTATTAATTCTTTCAGACAAAAGAAACAAAATTTGAAAAAAAAAACTTGATAAATCAGGCAGGGTCTGTTAAGATACTGGCAAGTATAAGCCCGAGTATCTCCTCTAAACAAAGTTCAAAAGAGAAAGGCGCCCTTGAGGGTTTGTCGTCACATTCGAATAGGAAAGGGAAAGAAGAAAGGTAACTCATCATTTTAATCAAGATTTTCTTTTCTTTGTATTCTTTTAAAAGAAAGATAATAAACTGCGTTTAAGCCATAAAGAAGATTGTCGACTTTTTTGGAATCCAGTTACTTACCATTAGCTTCAATGTCCATTGGGGAAAAAAAAGGAGGCAAAAGAAAATTATGATGCAAAACAATATCTTAAATAGTAAAATTTGAAATTTTAATCAGACGAAAAGCCCTAATTGTTCTACTATGTAATGTGTTACCCGGTTTTGCTTAGTCACTATACTATTTTGGTATTCCTTATGATAGGAAATAGATTAAGTCATCTAAACATTAAACATTTATTGATATGTGTTCTATGGACTGAATACAGTCTAAGTTCGTGGGTGATTTAGATAGTTGTTTTTTTTTTTTTGATTTCTTAGCATTAGAAATATCTACCGACGAAATAAGCGGCAAAAAACACCAGGAAAAAAGATGCTAAGCCGCGGATTGCGTTTAATTATTGGCATACTCTATAAAATACACATTAATTATTGGATGTACTTCTTCAGGCCGCGTAATCTTTCTACGGCATCTTCCAAGATAGCATCGTCCTTACATACGGCGAATCTCAAGAAATCTTCAGCGTAATGGGCGTGTTCAGGAATGTAAAATTCAGTAGGCGGGATAGAAACCACACCTATTTCCCTAATAAGCCAATAGGC